TTTTTTTGTCAAAAAATGCGTCCTGCCATCAGGACGCATGGTCCCAGAAAACATTTTTTTTGCCGAGTTTTTATAAAATGTTGAGTTTTTTGGAATTTGTATCAGTAATTACGAAATCGTAATCTTCTGGAACGTTCTCAACAGTTCCAGAGGGTATTCATTGAAAAAAAAATCTGCATCCTGGCATCAGGATGCATTGTCGCCAACGTGTTAATGACCCTCGCAGGAATCCCATCGGGGCCGGTCGCCTTGCCCAACTTTAACTTCCCTATCATGTTCACGATCGTCTCATCGGTGATGGAAATAATTAAGGGCTCTGGAATGAGATCCAATATTCTCATCTAGCTTGCATAGTTCATGAGTTACAGCGATTTTGTACCGATATTGTGATTCAATCTCATCAACAGTTGGCGGGAAAGGTTCCGGAAAAATTTTTTGGCATTCTTGAGACGGAATGACCCACTTCGCAAAAAAATTAATAAATACCTTTTAGCGGAAAAAAAAAATTAAGAAGAAGTGTTTAATCTTTACTACATGATCAACCTTTACCGAGTGAAATTAATGAACATATTTTGGAACACGATATGACACGATCCCTATGACAAAAGCTCCTTCAATTCATGTAAATCTCTTCTAATCACAGAAAATATTGACTCTTTTTTTCAGATCCTCAGACCTGTTCCAGATACGTCCTCACGGACGTGTGGCAGCAGTAGAAGAACTACAAGTACGTAGCCAACATCGATAACGCCTAGAACGAAAAATTCTACCGAGAGACGATGCGGGTACTATCACCGTGGAAGGAGAAGCTGGACGTGAAGCGGACGTGGACGAGAGAGACCGTGAAGGAGGTCGAGGACGAGAGCCTCGATTTCATATACGTCCGCCCGCCATGTCTTCTGCTGGGTCTACGAGGACGTAAGCCTCTACTGGCCCAAGCTGAGTCCGCGAGGCATCATGGCCGGGCAGGACTACGTCGACTGGCAGAGGATGAACGCATTGAACAATCCGAACTGGGGCCTGTGTTCCAATGGGACATTCTTGAAGGCCTCCGTGAAGGAGGCCGTGGACCGTTTCGCGAGTGTGAACGGGCTTCAAGTGATCACCAATTCAGAGAAATGGCCGTCCTTGATCGTTCGCAAACCTTCCTAGGAATGCTGACACATCTGGATACGTTACGGCTGCGACCGCCTGGAGTGGCAAGGGGGAGGATGGGGTGGGGGGGGGGGGTGGAGGTCAACAGAATTGGCACTGATCTTGAATTCGCGCATTGCAAGGGTAACATCGATTAAAGGCGAAGATCGTAAGAATCATGCATGAAGAACTCATCAGTTCACAGCGGGAAGGAATGATGGTAACATTATTGCTGCAAAAGCTTTCACTTTGAAAAACCTGCTCCGACCTACCCATTTCCTCATTTTCGCGAAATTTTGGCAATAGAAGGTCCCATTCGCGAACGAGTAAGTGGTAACGAGTGCCATTTGTTAAACACCGCCTAGAGAAATGAAACTGCTTTGGGCTCCATCCATTTTGGGCTAACGGTAAGCAGCAAAACCTCGAAAGCTGCGACAGGAAAGAATTGCACGGCAGTCCTGCTATCTTGCACTTTCTCGAACGAACGTGGTTTTCATAAATAAAAGGCAGATGGGAAATAAATCGCCGCTGGAGCAAATTCTTCCTGACGCATGCGAAGACTTATTACAAATTAAAGAATTAAAGCAGCGATGCCCAATCATGATTCCATGTTAGACATAGCTGAGATTTGCACTCATGCTCGCGCGTCTCAGTGGGGTGCATCCGTTTGCTGATGCAAATTTCGGGGTTGTTTATCCCCTTCGTATTTTGGAAAGAGACTGCTGGTTGTGCATCATCTGCAGTTTCCAATATTTTCCTACATGTGCGAACTGTGTAGGCATGCAGTTTCTGACGTGGAGTGAGACATTCAAGAGAGTGAATATTCTAGAGACTGCGCGAAAGCGGCCTTAAAATCTTCGAAAAGCGTACGAATCACTGACGGACGCTACATACATTTCGGGTTTGAGGTCTCTCAATATCCTTAACGCGATAGACCCGCTTCATCCGGCCGCACAGAAGGAAATGAATGAGGAACAGACTGCGGATTCGACGATAGGACATCATGGTTTCATGGTTGTTGAGTGGTATCAAGAGGCGATCACACCCATAGGGATACCACAAGTCGAGGTCGAGCGTTCCTTAGTTTTAGATCCATATGCATCGATGAAGCACGTTCCTTGTTTGATTTTTGGTCTGCTACTTACAAAATAGTTCATCTTAAACTTGGAATTTTCTCATTTTGGTCATCTTCGGTCGACTATTTTTCAGTGTGGCTGAGCACTTATGATATCATGGGTAGTGACTCTAGGAAGGTGAGCTCGAGGTCTTTCCAGCGATATATAATTTGGTGCGTGTTTTTCGAAGAAAGGAAATGTAAAAAATTCCAAAAGTTTAAAAATGTTACGTTTTGGTGGAGTGGCTGAATACAGTCGTGTAATATATCTCTGGAAAGGTCTCACAGAGCTTCGTATAATGAGTTGTGTTCTTCTCAGCTCGTTTCTGCATAGCTTTCTTGCATTCCATGTTATGCTCACCCAAACGACCCTTAGAAGGCAAAAAGGTCTGAAAAAAATTTTCCCGAAAAAGAACAGGCCCTTTCTCCCTTCTAGAACTGGAGGATTTAGCCTCTTATTGATATCTTCGGATATTCCCGTATTTCGAGCGGGTTCGGCCACATGAATTGTCCTTTTCTGCTCTTTCCCATAGCAGAGACAGTTTCTGTTGTGGATGTTATCGGTTGAATCTCAGCGGGGTAGATTCCTCTCTCGTTTGATACAGTGACCCAATCTCCCACACCGGGATTACAAACAGAATGTGTCCAGATGCAACTGATAAGACACACCACTTCGGTCGCAGAGAGGCAAATATGGAGAATCCCGCTTTCACTTCCGGGTTGGCATCCTTCCACAATCTGCAGGCCTCTCGCAGGTTTACCAGCATCAGTCGCTTTTGTTTCACCATTTGACCCTCCTTACCCACAACGGATACGAAGTCCTTCTTGCCTGGGCATATACGGCTGACATGGTCATCTTCTGGACAGGTCATCACGCAGGCACCATATTGCTTCGCCCTATTGCTTCACTTCTCCCCAAACCCTCCCGTTTCCGAAATGGCTATTTCCAATTAATTTGTACGGAATGCAGAGTATATACGTTTCCCATGTAATAAACCTCTACCTGCACCTTCCGCTGCTGGACACGCTGGCACCACTGGGAGAGGAAGCTAGACTAGGCCTGCAAATGACAGGAAAGAGTGACGATTTAATTTACGCTTGCTGGTTATGAATTCCTTTCATTAGTATAGCAAAGTGATATCCCTACTGCAGGAAGACTCGGCATAATTTATAAACATTTCAAAAGGAGCACAGAAACAAAATACATTATGTTGCAATGTTGTATTCATGGCTGACGCCAACTAATTCGGCTCGTTATGCAAAGAGAATCCAAACGCCCCCCCTCTCTCTCAGAGGGAAGAGGCGTCAATCCCTAGCATTCAAAAAGACGACGCTGAAATGGAAGGCATTTACACTTTCTGAAGAAAAACTGAGCGGCATCCACACCCTAGTGAGGGAGCACATATGGTACATGCATAAGGCCGGCCCTGATTGTATTCATCCTCCTCGAAAAAGAAAAAGAAATGAAAATAAAATTCAAAAGAAAGGAATGCAACACAAGCACAGAAATTCATTGCATTTACATTAACGTCATGCTTTCGCAAGGGAGGTGTCACTAAATGCTGTCAATAGCAGCAATGGGTTGCAAGCTAAAACGGATCTCTCCATTGTTGAACGGAGCCAACATCCAAAAGGCCCGGAATGATATCACTTTTTGAGGAGATTCAAAAGTCCATCACTAAATGAGCGGGGAAATTAGCTGCCGTATGCGACGCCAAAGGAGAACACATCTCACATATTCTTGGTAAAGCGAGGCGTGATATGAAATATTTCGAGGTGCCTTATTTAAAAGGCTGCAGAGGGTGTACTTTGGTCGGTGAAACTCATAGTTTCGATGGAGCGCAGAGGAAAAAGGATATTTAGTAGATGTCATTTGTCGACCTCTCCCTCATCTGAAGTTCTGGGGTTAAATGGATAAGGCGAAACCAAGGCAAAAGCAATCCCAACTTCAGTCCTTCTGGAAGCACCACAGTGAACAAACCAATAGGTTCCACCATTCTCATGAATGAAATGCATGATATGACTTAAACCTTCCATATGTGCGTGTGTGGATGCAGTGAGAACTTGCGTGTAAGCGTCTGTGTGTGCATTGGTAAAATTGTAGAAGAATCTTTGACAAATTTATTTCACTTTGGAGACTTCGCATATAGGTGAATCAGTACAGATGCGTTAGAAGCCGCTATAAATAACCCTGTTGATCCACTGGGTGAACCTAAAGGGAAAAACGAGAAGCAAGTAATTATTCGTGCGACGGGAGGACAGGAATACGAATGATGTAATTGAGTTAGATAAATCCGATCTCACCTATTAACCTTGGTGAAAATGCCATACTGCCCAGGGCGCCTCATGGAGCAAGTACCTTTCTGGAAAAAGTGACTCACGATCCCTTCCATCGTCCAGTGGCTGCCATGGGATATATTGGAGAAGAAGACCATGGGACTCCCTGAGTCCCCAGGACACACTGTTCGATAATCTGTACAGTAAGAATGATATTATTTGTAGATATTCCCTTCCATCATTATTACAACAAATGAATTGGGAGATATCACCGGTAATTCAATTTAAAATAAACAGGGAATATCTCAGGGAGAAGCTCAATCGAGAATCTCATAATGCATATAAGCGAATTTGACACACGGATCTTGAGACCGTACCTTCGAGAGGAGTAGCCGCAGAAAGACCGGCGCAGAACATATTTGAGGTGAGGGTGCGAGTGATGCCGGGGTCCCCCGTGAAATGAACGGTGTCCCGAACACATTCGCGATTGGATATCACCGGGAGTTGAACCTCCGTCAGGACAGCTAAAGACCGGCGCAGAACATATTTGAGGTGAGGGTGCGAGTGATGCCGGGGTCCCCCGTGAAATGAACGGTGTCCCGAACACATTCGCGATTGGATATCACCGGGAGTTGAAACTCCGTCAGGACAGCTGTGGGGTTATTTGATCCGTCAGTACCCCAACCGGCCACCTGTATCATCATACCGTCGAAGAAGAAAGGATGCAATGAGAACGCTGAAAATAAAGTTTTAGCCAAAGGTATTACGATGTTTCGTGTCTTACCCATCCTATCACTCCGCTGTCGAGGTTGGCCTCAGAGAAATCAAAACGGTTCGGGAGACATACCAACTGAACTCGCGGAGTCAGCACGGCAGGCCTTTTTAGTTTCAATAGAGCAATGTCCGAGTCGTAGTTATTATATACGTTGAAGTCCTTGTGCAAGATTATATGCGACACCTGCAAGGAGATAGTGTCAGTTTTCATCGTGAGAAATAGAATTAATGCAAGTACGAGAACGTCTGGATCACTGAACCTGTCTGATCTGCAGGTATTCGTCCCTGACATCATGCCGATGGTGTTTCCCTAGGTGAACCGAAATTTCAGTAACGTTTCGAGTTCTGAGGGAACCTGATATAACGACACAATGGGCCGCTGTCAAAACCCATCGCTCCTTAATGAGAGCTCCTCCACAAATGACATCGTCCTTCTTGAGGTCATAGATGGATGCTTGCCATGGCCAATCTCCGATTTCAGATGGGTTTCCTCCTGCAGAGAGCTGAATTTGACTTTCTTTCTTCCTGCATACTACGTAAAGAAGGAGATAAGGATAGGCATTTGGAAATGGCTGGGATGCATCAGGTAAACAGGGAATTCACTAGTAAAAAAAAAACCGACCTGGCTTACAAAATGGGGTAGGTCCTGTCCATTCTTCATCCTCCTCACATTTTCGGAATTCCGGTCCTTGCAGTTCATAGTATTTCTCGCATCTGTATTTAACGATGCTCCAAAGTGCATAGTATCTATCTCGAATGCAATTTGCATTGTTTCTTTCGGCAGTCTCTTCCGATGGGCTGGCACACGATTCGATAGTAAAGGATCCGTGTTGAATGACGCTGAGTTGTCCGCATCTGAACATCCGGCATGCTGGAGGAAAACGATAGCTGAGTTGCTGTTATGACCGTGACTACAATGAATGGATCTACCGAAATTGACGAATTAAAACGTCTGTGATTTTCTTTGTTGTTCCTATGAATTGTATCTGCATGGTTTTTACGTCGTATTGTGCTGCAAGTTTTTTTTCAGTTAAAGGACTCCTGGGCACTTGAACATTTGATATTTTTGCTTGGTTGTTGTTCCCTCTCTAAAAAAAAGGTATTTTAGCATGTCTCTTGGATTTTCACTCTTCTTCATGACAAAATCTGTGAATAAATTTCAATATGTGGCTGCATCATGGATGAAGTGCATTGAATTCCTCTATAACTCAAAAGGTATCAGGGCAAAATGTTTCTCTTTTTTATCATAAAGAAGGCACATTGATATTTAGTAGCTTGGAGGAAAACGACCGTGTTTTGTAGTACCTCAGTTCAAAATAACAACAATCATTGCAAATAAGGAAAAATCAGCGCATTGGTTTATCTTTGGAAATGGTGAGCAAAGTTCTTGACAACTTTCCAAAGAGACTCAAGCATCATCGAAGCAGTAGGTGGCCATTTGAAAACAAATGACTATATTGTGATCTCGAGATTTTTCTCTCTCTCTTTGTTTTTTTTCTAACTGGTTATAAAAATCTGGTTATTTAAATTTTTTTATTTCTTATTTTGTCCTGGTATTTTTGCCACAACCTGTACTTTCGTATATTTTTGGCTGAATAAAGGTATTTTTTAGGATTTTGTAGAAAATACTCGGCGGGGTATTTCCTTGAGGTGATGAGTACTGTAAATTTACTGGGCAAAAGTTGTTCTTACGCACAAATTGACAATGACTGCAAAATGACACACATTATGGATCATACGGCACCATTCCGACTGATATTTTAAGGAGTATTTCCTAACCATTTGACCTCTTTTCAGTCAAAATTATAGGCAGTTTGGTCACCTGGAACTTATGAGTACATAATGGTGCACTTTTTTTCCCGGCACCGGATAGATCTTTCTTCACCTTCTAGATAGTTCTCGAATATTTTCCCCTCAAATTTCTAGAAATTTGCTTCCTGAAAGTTAGCTTATGCAAGGGGAAAGGAATTTTGCACCTTAATGTATATTACCCAGATAAGATATGAACGACAAGGGCCAGTCTGGAAAACACTGGAAAACGCACTCTCCCTTGGAAGCAATTTCGCTTCACCAACCTGAAAGTCGGTCATGCAGCTTCCTTGCTAAATGTAGCAAAGCGCATCCCAGATAAACTTAAATGAAATGAAGCTTAATGTGCTTTTTCTTTCGCTTCCTGCTGAAATCATATCGGGTATCAACAATATGTAAATGATATATATTGGAAAGTGACGATTGAGCTCGCGTTTCTTGAATGCTTCTTCACTCCGAAATTTGGAATTAATTTTATACTCATCTACATCAACGGTTTCTCCCAGTCAGCATAACATGCAGAAAGCTAAAGGAATCGCTGCATACCTCTTCTTCGTCATCATTCTGCCCTGAAGGAGAATCCAGAAATTCAACCAGAAATGTTTCATCGCTGCGTTTGTTCCCCAAATCTTAATTTATTTTAGAGTTTGAGTTAACTCCCGAAACTCCCACTTTCCTTGGAACCACGAAATAACACCGAAGGAAGCGGGAGGCTTAATCGTTCGACTGCAGCTGGGGGCAGCGGGGCAGCGAGACAAAGCGGTAGTCAAAATGGCATCCATAAATCTCGTGAATGGAATTTCCCAATCTCAGGTCATGAAGGCTCGGACAGGGTTGTCCCAGCGTTCTCTATCCACAGCTCTGGGAACCTTCGTTACAAATCAGATCATGTTTACTCGTTTTGATGACCGTCTTCGAGGCATAACCAAACATTCCACAAAAATTGCTAAAAAGCCTGAACATAATTCCATTAACACCAAGCTTGGCATGGAACCAAAAGCTGAGAAACCATATAGGCACATTACAGTAAAAGAATGCAAGCAATTGGAGACGTCACCTTCAGTTGTGGGTGTTGGTAAGCTCGATTGACGATCACCGTCTTTCATAACAAATGCATCCAAATCCTTGAATTCAGTTCCATTGTGGCACTTTCCAGAAATGCTCGCAATCAATTGGAGACGTCACCTTCAGTTGTGGGTGTTGGTAAGCTCGATTGACGATCACAGTCTTTCATAACAAATGCATCCAAATCCTTGAATTCAGTTCCATTGTGGCACTTTCCAGAAATGCTCGCAAGAAATTCCCGATTGAGAACCAGCCATGCTATGTCACAATCGCATCGGACAGGATTGCCTGGAAAAGGAGCAGGAGGAAAACTGCAGTTACGAAGGTAAAGAAAGGGACCAAGAAAGTCAACGTATTCTGCAATGATAAGGAACCATGAAACTCACGCCAGACATAAATGGTTCCATTTCCCTTCGAGAGGATTTCCAAAATTGGACGGAAACTCTTCTCAGACAATACAGCGATATTGTTGTCGTTCAGATCCACCTCCGTATCAGGTTTTATACCTGGAATGCAAATAAAATATCCTACAAAACTGAACCCCACTAAACTGAACTAACAATAAATTCTAATTTCTTTTCTTTTCTTTCGAATAAACCACGGACGAAGTGGTTTACAGCCGACGCCTGGAAGTTATAAGAAACGAATTGGAAAGCTTCCGAGTCACTTTGAAGACATTTCCTTGGGCCACGAAGTTATTGAGCTAGGTCAATCGATTGCCTCTGCATCTGGTTCTGCTAAGCTTGAATACCTCAAGTAAGG